CCTCTACATCCTTCTAATTTTCCCTTATTACCATGAAATGAGTCTGTTCAGAATGATTCAGAGGTCACCCAGTACTCCAGTAGCCTTTGTGTAAAGGTCAAACTATTCATACTTTTCGTGTGAAGGACTGCATTTCCTGACTCTCCCCACTCCACTTATCATTGACTTTGTACAGGTCTCCACGTAAGCTCACTCCCCCATCATTTCAGCCTATTTGTAGTCGGAGGCTGCTATTTCATTTCCTTGTTGCCCAGACCAGAAATAGTCACTCAGAAACTATATTAATTAAATCACTGCTTAGGCAATTACTTAAGAGTATTTCTAATTAGCTCTTATATCTTAAATTAGCCCATTCCTATTATTTTATATTTTACCACGAAGCTTGTGGCCTACCCACAGGGTTCCGGCTGGCAGCTCATGTCTTTCTCCTCTGGCAACTACATGGTGTCCCACTGATTCTGCCTTCTTTCTCCCAGCATTCAGTTTAGTTTTTCCACCTAACTCTATTCTGCCCCATCACAGGTCAAAGTAGCTTCTTCATTCATTAACCAATAAAAGCAACACATGTAAAGAGAGACTTCACCTTCTTCACCATTCCCAGTTTCCATGAGTGTGTGTGTGTGTGGGGGGGGGCTAACTTTAAGGATGATAGAAGATGCAGCTACTTCCAAGTAGTCTTTCTGATTACATATGCTGGCAGGTATTTCTCCTCTTTCTAAACTCATCCAGCCTCTGGTTTGCAAGTCTCACCTTAACCTTCTGATTCCCTTGGTATAGTTGAGTATGTACTGGCGTGAGTAGAGAATAACTGTCCCCAGAACAAAGATGAAGTCTTCCCTGTATCCCATTCCTTAAAGCAATGCTGATAAACTGTGAAAAGAGGGTCAGAAAAATTAATTAGTGTAATAAATATAGGAATTCTTATGGGAGATTTAACAATGTAATTAGAAAGATAGTGAGTTTTATTATTATTTTTTTTTATTCCCTGGTAGTTCTATTTGTATTCCCTGTTTGTGGGGCTTTTCAGAAGAAATTTGAGACCTTCCTAAGAATATTTGGAGTCGAATATAACCAAAACCCTGCCGTCAGCTGAATCTATAGTTCACATTACACGGCGCGGATGGGCTTTGGGATTGGTTTGAGGGCACGGCGCAGCTGCCTAATGTTTTATGGGACCATTTTATACAGCAGGGTTTCTCATTTTCAAAGAGCCTCATTAAAAATCTTATTAAACTATTAAGTGTCTACAAGGTGATTTTGTGGCTGTAATTACAAATGCTCATTTAGGCAAGAACTATTCCCACCTTCACACGGTGGATTTTTGCTTTTAGCTTCCTTCTTAATAATTGTCTAAGTTTCAACTTCCTTGTTTTGAGGAAAATGTTTAAAATACCACAAGTTATAAAAAGACTTGGCTTATTCAAAAGATAATTCTATCTTAATCTGTACTCCTAGAACATGCTGCCTATTCTTTCTGCCTCCAGTCTCTGAGGCCTTGCTGAGGGCTCTCTGTGTATGTGGGAGATAGGTATTTTCTGAAATGTTTCAAGGCCGTAGGGATTCTGTTGCCATCTACACAGACTCAATAGCACAAGCGGAAGGCAAGTGGAAGAATATTCAAAATGTAGGCTAACCTCGGGATGTCCCTCCTAGTCAGGCCACATGGAGACAGAGTCCAAGTCTATTTCAAGCAGACTTCGTAGGATCTTTTCACTTGCTCTACTTTCCCTGATATATTCTTCCCCTAGATGTCTGTGAGGCCAGCTTTCTTATTTCATCCTGATAGCTGTTATGAAGCGACATTATCACAGGGGCTCACCTGACTACCCAAATCAGCCTCTCACTTTCCTCTCACCGCTACCCCACAGTCACTCACTTCCTTCTGCTTAACATGCTTACCTTCCCACTGCATCTCTTCAAGTCTCTTGCGTGGTATAGAGGTACTTGTTTTATTCTCTGTTGTCTCTAGCTTCTCAAAGATTAGTTTCAGAAGGTCGGGGTCTTTGTTTTTCTGATTGTCATATTCTTCAAGTTTAGAGCAAAGTCTGCCTGAAGAAAAAAATGTATTGAATTTAAATATCTCATTTAAATTAATTACAGTATCTTTTTGGAAAATATTTACCTTGGTTATAAGTAGGAGTGTTGGCCTGCACCTGTTTACGTATACCTCCTGAGTGCCTGGTGCCCATGGAAGTCAGAAGAAAGCACTGGATGACCTGTTCATGTGCACAATGGGGACTGAGCCTGAGTCCTCTGCAAGAACAGCAAGTGCTCTTAACTACTGAACCATTTCCAACTCCAAGAATAATATACTAGTAATAAGTACATAAAACTTTAAAACAATAAGTGCAGCATTCACCTTTATAGAAGAAAAAAACCGATGGTCAGATTGGTGGTGCAACTTCCAAAGAAACCATGTGGTCATTACTAAGTTTGGGATACCACCCTGCTGCCAGACTTCTAGAGCATGGCTTGTACTCCATATAAGGAACTGTCCCACAATTTAAACGTTTCTATGAGGAAAACTAAAAAGAAACAACAGCAAAGCTCTTTTTCGGAAGTCTGGAATCAAGAAGAGTGTGAGGGGATTTAATTACTTCCACGGCATAGAGCAATTTCCATATTGTTGAGAACCAGAGAAGAACCTGCATCTTTTCTGTGCATTTAACATATACATTGTTGTTACAGAGCAATTGGGCAAGCAGGAAACACACTGAGAAGTCAGCATTCCTCACTGCTTAATAACAACGTATCGTTTTGTCAAATGGAATGCCACAGCATGTGGCAGCTGATGCCATTAGTTCTTGGTAGTGGCATTGTGGAGTATAAAAATGTATCATGTGTAGTGAACAGCTCCTCTTTGGAGTCCTTCCTTATAGGGTAGCTTACCTGGAAATAAATAAATAAAGCTTACCTGGAAAACATTCAGCATAACCCCTCAAAGGCAAGACCCTGTTTTAGTCTTATTTTTAACGTGTCTTGTTTTTCTTAGGGCTGGTATCCTCTAAACCTGACCCTTTGTCCCTGCCCCAAGGATGCTGTGTCACTGATACTAGCTAGCAACCAGTTTAAACTCTGCATACCCTATCAGACTACTAGTGAGGCCCTTTCTTTGCCATCAATTGCCTGGTTTTCTCTCTGCATTGACTCACACATTTAGTTTGTGTTCTTTGCAACACATTTACACTCATACTTTTGGAGAGTTTCCTCAAACTAACACACATTCCTTCTCTGCTTTCATCTTTTGCCCACACATTCTACAGTGATTGTCCTTCTAGTGAAAATCCTCAGCACCCTTATTTGGACACATTCTTTTACTTTCATGTTCTTACTTGCCATATGTGCTGGAGAAGTTAGATGGAAATGACAGCCCAGCACCCTGCTCCACAGGAGTCTACAGCTCCTTGAATGGGGAATCTGACATCATCCATCAGTGGTATGAAGCAGTGATGGTCCCCTATCGTAAATCAAAGGTCTTACAGCAGTAGAAATATGAAAATTTGCATGCATTGCAGATTTAAACATTTTACATTAATTACTAACAGAATATGCTTTGAAAAGCTATTTTACCCAAGAGACCATATAAGCTCAATGTTCAAAAGACTCCTTAAAATGCCATAGTTCAGCCAGGTGGTGGCGCACGCTTTTAATCCTAGCACTGGGGAGGCAGAGACAGGGTGATCTCTGTGAGTTCAAGACCAGCCTGGTCTTCAAGAGCTAGTTTCAGGAGAGGCTCCAAAGATACAGAGAAATCCTGTCTTGAAAAGCCAAAAAAAAAAAAACAGAAAAAACAAAAAACAAACAAACGAACAAAAAAAAAACCAAACCAAACAAACAAACAAAAAACCAAAACCAAAAACAAAAAAAAAAAATAATTAGTGCAACCTTCTCTGTTTATGGAAAGCGAAATTGAAGGTTAGTTCGGTGATGTGACCTTCATGGAAACCCACTGGCCATTGCTAAGGCTGGGCCCACACCTGCTGTCAGACTTGAGTAGATCTTGAACTTCATCTAAGGAACATCTCATGGCACCTGACTGCTGGGAATATAAATTTGCAGAGTACAGTTTTCCCACACTCCTAGAATGCAGAGACCGTTGCTGCCTTTGTAGCCCTCTGAAGATCCCAGGTTCCTCAAGAGTGTAATTTCTTGAGAACTTTTATCCAGTTCTCACCAACATTGGGGCAGGTGCTGACATCATGATGTGGAAGAAAATGGTTGCTCATCACGAACATTATGAAAAGAATTGGGAGTGGCTTTGCCAGATCAACACACATGAGACTCTCTCCTCAGAATCCAGATGGCTCTCTCCATGGCTTGATCCTTCTTGACCCTGTAAGTGTCTGTGTGTTGATGAGGGAAGGGAAGAGGAGGAGCCACTAAAGCCTGGGAAAATTCCTCTGGTAAAACTATCTGTGATCTCCTAATTCACAGTTTTCCCCTCATACATCACCACATATGGGAATTGTTTAGAAACACACATCTTGTTTATGCCCATTTATAAGGGTTGGAAGAAACCTATGTGTACCTGAAGTGTGAACTGTTTATAACAGAAATATTTATTGTTTATAATAACTGGTTTCTTTTAAAAAAGTCTAGCAAATTATTCATGAAAACACTGGAAATAACAGTTTTGCTCAAATGAATGAAATCTGCAAACATGGTACAAAAGAAGCATATCCCCAGTGTTTAAGCTTGGCTTGCCTTGCGAAATAATAATCAGTTACAATCAACACGAAGTGTGAGCATTATTCACACAAAATCGTGTTTCATCTGGAGCGGGAGGATGTCATGCAGCAGGCAGGATGATGGTGTGCAGTCTAGTCTAAAACTGGAATAGGCTAAGGAACCTGGCATTTGATGTCCAGGAAATGCCCCCGTCAGTCACCATGATTAAATTACAATAGGGCGGCGAGGCCGAGGCCCACCGCAGCACTGTGCGGTTCCGGCGTCGGGGCCCGGCATGGCGGGGGTCAGGGCCAGGCCGGGCCCGGACCTAAATGCCTCTACTTCTCTCCGCGCTGTTGGTCTTGCTGCTGGTTGTGCTTAGCGCACTCTTCCTAGGCCAATGGCTTGTGGTCCGGTTGGCCACCAGGTGGTGTCAGCGGAAGTTGCAGGCAGAACTAAAGATTGGCTCATTCCGATTTTTCTGGTCCAAAATGTCACTCTTAAGTTTCAGCAGCACCAGCATACGGTGGAAATTGACAACTTGTGGATTTCCAGAAAACTCCTTAGCTATGATCTGCCACACTATGTGGCATTGTGCTTTGGATAAGTACGCATCAGAACAGACCTCCAGAAGGTTTCTAGCTTGTCTGCTCCATTCTCTCAGAACACGGAGGTGGAGCAGAAGGAGCTGTTTCTTAGCCCTTCCTTGTTGAAGATCTTCTGCCAACTATTCTCCATTCATGTCGATGCCATAAACATCATGGTTCTCAAGGTGGCCACCTCCGAGTCCTTGTGGCACATCCAGATCAGCAAAAGCAGATTTCTTTTGGACAGTGATGGGAAAGGTCTAATCTGTCAGGTGAACCTATCAAAGATCAATAGCAAAATCTTGAAGAGTGGTCAGCTGGAGGATACATGCCTGGTAGAACTGTCACTGACCCTGGACCTGTGTCTACAGGTGGACATCAGCAGTTGGCACCTGAGGGCTATCACTACGGATGTGTGTACGCTCCATGCTGAGCTCCATGAAGGTCTCTTTCATAGTCAACTACTGTGTCAGACCCCAGGCCGGAAATCCAAGTCTGTTTCTTGTTCAGATTTGACAGAGGACTTTGCTGAACCAACTCTGCCTGGCCTATACCTTCTCCAGCAGCTGCCAGACCAAGTCAAGGTGAAGATGGAGAACACAAGTGTGGTGTTGTCTATGAATAGTCAGAAGAGGCACCTGACTTGGACACTGAAGCTGCTGCATTTCCTGTACCACCGTGATGAGGATCAGTTGCCCCTTCGAAGCTTCACGGCCAACTATGATATGGCACAGATGAGCACTGAACTCCTACTAGAAGATGGGTTGCTGCTGTCCCAGAGTCGCCAGCGGATTGTCTGCCTCAACACCCTCGAGGCTAATGTCCAGTTACAGCTAAACCAGGAAAAGGCCAACCTGCAGCTGGAAAGTGAAGAGCTCAACATCCTCATCAGATGTTTTAAGGATTTCCAACTGCAGCGGGCCAACAAAATGGAGCTGCAAAAACAACAGGAAGATTTGAGTGTAGTCCGTCGCACTGAGTTTTACTTTGCTCAGGCACGTTGGCGCCTGACTGAGGAAGACGGACAGTTGGGAATCGCTGAGCTGGAGCTACAAAGGTTCCTCTACAGCAAGGTGAATAAGTCTGATGACACAGCAGAACATCTCCTGGAGTTGGGCTGGTTCACTATGAACAATCTTCTCCCCAATGCTATCTATAAGGTGGTTTTGCGGCCCCAGAGTTCCTGCCAGTCGGCGAGACAGCTAGCCTTCCGCCTTTTCAGCAAAGTCCGACCACCTGTTGGGGGTATCTCTGTTAAGGAACACTTTGAGGTGAATGTGGTGCCTCTCACTATTCAGCTGTCGCACCAGTTTTTCCATAGAATGATGGGATTTTTCTTTCCTGGTCGAAATGTGGAAGATGATGAAGTTGGTGATGAAGAGGAGAAGTCCAAATTGGTGACAACAGGAATTCCAGTAGTGAAGCCTCGGCAGCTGATGGCAACAGATGATGCAGTTCCACTCGGCCATGGGAAAGGTGTAGCACAGGGTTTGACTCGGAGTTCTGGGGTCAGAAGATCATTTTGCAAATTACCTGAGCACCCAGCTGATGATATTGACAAGATGAAAGAGCGAGCTGCCATGAACAACTCCTTCATATACATAAAAATCCCACAAGTTCCACTGTGCGTCAGTTATAAGGGTGAGAAGAACAGTGTGGACTGGGGTGACCTTAACTTGGTGCTACCCTGTCTGGAGTACCACAACAACACGTGGACATGGCTGGACTTTGCTATGGCTGTCAAAAGGGACAACCAAAAAGCTCTGGTTGCCCAGGTAATCAAAGAAAAGTTAAGGTTGAAACCTGCAACAAGGTCTGAGGTCCGGGGAAAGCTAGAGACAAAATCGGACCTGAACATGCAACAGCAGGAAGAGGAGAAAGCGAGGCTCCTTATTGGTCTAAGTGTGGGTGACAAGAACCCTGGCAAGAAGTCCATCTTTAGCAGGCGCAAGTGATCTGGAGATCCAAGTGACTACAGTATCAAATCTGACTCTGGTTCAGGATCCAGGGACTTGAGGGTGGGCAGTGCTTCCCCTCATCCCACGGGATTTGTGGGGCTTTGGAGCTTATAGGGAGCCGAGAGAGACACTTCAGCAACTGGCCTGTCCCTGCAGGGCATGGTGGACAAAAGTGCTAAATTCCCTCATGCTTATTAGTCCCAGGGCCAGAAAGGCAAGAGAACCAGAGGCCTATGGAGTGTGTTCAAGCCTAGTATCCTACTCTTGGGGGCAAAAGAAAGGGTGGGGGGAATAGTTTTGATCAAGTATGATAAATTTTTATAAACAGACATATATATATATATATATATATATATATATATATTTCTAAGTGTAATTGCTCTCCCTTTGTGCCAGTAAGCTGAGGGGAGGGTCTGATCCTCTGTGCCTCACTCCACTGTCTTTTTGTATGAAAGGTGTTACTGTTGGGGGAGGGGTCAGCTTCCCAATCTGTGTTCACTTGGGAGGATGGCATTAGGAGCCAGGGCTGGTCATGGGTACCTTCCTTTCCCCCCTGGGGAATCCCCTGGAGAATGGAGAAAAAAAAAGATTTAAAGAAAAAAATATTTTAAATTTGATGCTGGCTTCTCTCTTTTTTTCAGTTGTATTGAGTAAAAATGTTCAAGTTGAAAAAAAAATTAGAATACGGCCACATCACTGAAGGTGCAACAGCTTCTTCATCTGCTCCTCTGACTCTGCCCAATGACAAAGTGAGGATTAGATGTGGATCGATGTCCTGGAAAAAAAGGGCAGGAAAGAGGATGGAAAAATGATGGAGAAGAAAGGGAGAAAGAGAGGGGAGAGAAGCAGAAATAGATCTTGCTCCAAGAGAAGGGTAGCCCCTGAGAAGGAAAGTTACTTAAGGCTGTTCTCTGACTTCCATACACGTGTGCACCTGCGTACACTTCGTGGAACACACAGCACATGTACAAACACACATGCACACATGACACACATGGACTATCAGGTTACATGCTAACTACAGCTGCTTTGTTCAGATGCTGTATGTCATCCAAGCACGTGCATGTGGTCACCACAAGCACTTCTCCAGAACATCCATTCTTCATGCTATGGATTCAGAGACAAAGAAGGATGTCATCTGCCCAGAGTTACACAGCCAGCACCAGCAAGAGACTGTTCAGCTCTCAGCCCAGATACTCACCACTACAGATAGGCTAACAAGTTATGTTGGTTAGTGGTTAACGGGGAAGGGGGACAGGAGCCTTCAGAATCCCAGGTAAAGAAGGGAAAAGGAACTTCATCTTTTGAAAAAAAATTTAAAAAGATAGGTTATTTGTATCCACAACAGGCATCTTTGCTATAGAGGGATAAAAGTAAAACAGCATCTCATTTGCCAGTACTTAAAACTTTGTTACTGTGGAGGGCCTCCGGTCAGATGGTCACAGTACCACATTACCAGGAGTTGTAAAACAACCACACCACAGTCCTAGTGATTAACAGAGTCCAGTTTCCTGGTTCTCTTCGCGTGTTTTCAGGACCTTTTGTGTACTCCTGTTTGCCTCCATGTGCTCCACTGGAAGATAGTCTTCAGCTCATGGGGGCAGCAGATCTGCAAGACAAAGAATCCAATTCTAACCCTAGCTGTCTGACCCTGAACAAGTTACTGTCCCCTGTATCTTGGTTTTATTATCTGTATACATCAGGGACTCACACTTCCCCATCAGATAGTTGTTGAAAATTTTGAGTGGACTTTTTTTTTAAGTTTGGGGTGCTCAGAGCATTTTAAGCATCATCACCAAATTAAGAATCCACAGGCTTACCTGTCATTTCTCCAAGTGAAAAATCTAGGGACTTATGTCTGATCTTCTGAAGCAGCAGTTGTGTTGTGTTAATCGTATCACTTGTGTGTGTGCCATCAGCGTTTGTGACATCAGGTTTCGGGTGTGAATTCCGTATGACACCTAGTGATATTTAGTATTGACCAACATACTGGCTGATAGAATACGGTTTCTTTTTATACCTGGGTTGGAGTACGTTCTTTGGTTTGTTTACTTCTTAAAGAAATGTTTGTGGGTCCATACATCTGTCTGTGCTTCCTTCTTTGCTGTGGAACAATGGTCTTTTATCCTGTCACTTGTATTTTAATAAAATGCTGATTAGTCAGCAGCCAGGCAGGAAGTATAGGCAGGGAAAGCATGGAGGACGTAGAGGCGGAGCAAAAAGAATTCTGGGAAGAATTCTGCAGTTGTCACCCAGACACAGAAAAAGGCAGACAGAGCAAGCGAGATGTGATTGCCTCACATGGCTAGCACAGACAAAAATTATGGGCTAATATAAGTTGTAAGAATTAATTAATAAGAAGCCTGAGCTACTAGGCCAACCAGTTTATGATTAATGTAGACTTCTCTGTGTTTATTTGGGACTAAACATCTGTGGGACTGGGTGTGACAGAAATCTCGGTCAACACTTCTTCAGATCAAATGCACTCCCCTTTGGTTTATACAAAGATACAAAGTGGCTGAGCAGCAGGTACCGCTCCACACATCCTGGGCTTGAATCATCCCTGTGGCCCTCTCAACCTGTGCTTTCATTTTCTTGATTGTTCCCCTGCATTCCAGGCTTCTTTCTCCTCTGGCCCTCAGAGTTGATATGTTTACAAATGCATCATTCTCGGTGGGATGTTTGGATCCATCTTTTCACTAATACTTTCCTGTTTCACAGCTGCAGCACCATGTAGTTTTTATTCCCTGGTCTCATCTACACAGATTTTAATTCTAATTGAGGACAATCCTCTGCTTTCCTCATGGTCCCTTTGTTTTAAGTTGTCAACAAACCTCCCTGCCCCACAGGGGTCTTGAAGGACACTCTGATAGCGCAAACCTCTATACTCTTACACAAGTTATTTACTTCCCTGGCCCCCAACTTTGTACAACTCAAGGGAGCTCGAAGTCGCCTGGTTCAATTTGCTATCTTTCCCCCATGCCAGAGACAGTAAGTTTACCATCCTGTCAATGTATGATCCCTGCCTGCCCTCACAGAGCCAGTGGCTTCAAAACAGAGATGTGATAAACCTAACATGACCACAAGGAAAATGCACAAAGAAGGGATACTTAGTCCAGTTTCAGTGTGGAGGGTTAGACAAATGATTTCAGTAATGATTTCTAGATGCAAAGTTGAACAGAGGTCTTTGCCCAGGGTAAAACGAGACATGGGTATTGGAGCTGAAGATGCCGTGGGTGTCTCTGCAATCTAAGGTATGAAACAAAAATTTGCCAGGAAACTGGAAGGGGCAAACAGAGTGAAGGGGTTATACAGCCTGAGGTTCTAGAAACAGGAGTTCTGAAAGAGGAGTTTTTCTTGACAGCATTCATTGCATTGATGTAGGCCTGGGTGAGAGGCAGGGTTATTGAAGTAGGTTTGGACAAGGATGGATGAAGTGAGGTTGGCATAGCTTTTGCCTCGTCTCTGAATGAGGGTCTTGCCTCTTTGGAGGAGCATCAGCCTTCTGTTCTCCAAGTGTCTCTCCAGTCCTATTTTACCTTGCATGCCGACTTCTCCCATGAAGGACACCCAGTCTTTTGCTTCCCACTATTTTTTTTTCACAGAGATAAAAGCCTGAGATAACTCACGCCCAGGGTGTGGTCACTGGCATGACTTTTTCTTTCTCTATGCTAGATAATTTTTCTCCTGTACTCTTTCCATCTTAGAATGCCATTTTACTTCCCACCTATGGGGTCAGAGATAGTTCTAGTACTAATGTCAGCCACTTTCCCTACTGGGATCCTCTGATGACCACCCCTGACAGCCACCTTGATTCATTTCTAGAATCTTCTTTGGGTAACTAAAGGGTCTTCTAATATGGTACGCCTTATCCTTCATGTAGGGGTTTCTCTATAATTTATAGAACATTATCGACTTTTTCATTTTAGTAACACAGGGGAATCAAATTTAATGCTTGGATGTTTCCAGTCAACCAGGATGAAAATTAACTTTGCAATTAAAAGCCTGCTTTGACACTTGAATGAGTTCCCGCTGCAGAGATGCTGTTGAAAAGAGAGCTAACTCATCCTGATTGATGGGAGGGAGGGGCTTGCTAGCAAGTTTCTTCAGTCAGAAGTTAATGGAGAACATCCCTGAGCAGGGGTCACTGTGAGCTGGTGATTGAGGCAATCAGAAGCTGCAATAGGTGAGCTGTGAACAAATTAACTCCTGGATGCCAGCGGGAGACAGCGTGTGGCTTCAATATTTATACCATGCAGTCATGCTCTCTCCCTTTTAAAACAGAAGAAATTGTCATCTCTGGATGAAATTGGATTTAATAGCAGCCTACCATGTGTGCACGAGTTTTTAATCAGAGTATTTTTCAAAGAAAAATTGGAGAAATAAATATAACCAAGCTATCTCTATAGATCTCTTCTTCTCTCTGTCTTTCTTTCTTTCTTTTTTCTTTCTATTTTGATATCCTTTTGGGAAACTAGATGTCACAGGATAGTCCTAGCAAGATAATTACCTAAACAATAGGGATCGCAAGATAATTACCTAAACAATCTTCTTTCCTGACTTAGCACGTACTAGCCTTTCCTTGTTTTTCTCATGTATTCCAAATTCCTTAGATTCAAAGGTAGTAAGATTATTTTTTTTAGTTGTGACATTTTGGTGGTATTTTAGTAATGGAATTGCAGGCTAGGTATGGTTATTGAATGATAACTATAATTTGGAATCAGCTAAATACAAATATCAGCCCTTAATATGTCTGATCGCTCAGCTGACAGAGCAGTGTGGAAGTAGACACAGACTATCTGTGAATTTGAAATAATAACCCGAGTCACAATCTTCTTTTCCTGGAACCTAGAGGAATGTCACTATACAAATGTTAACCATCTCCAATCCTCTCGAGATACCTTCAGTTCCTTTGTAAGTATCTGTAACTCAAGATTCCTCTGCATCAACCATTTTGCACTTTAATCCTGACTGTTTCAATGGGGTAAGGAGTGGGA